CTTCCTGGGTCTCTATGTACTTATCAGCAAAATGAAAAGATTGAATTAGATAAGAAAGGAAAGGCAAGCTCTGTTCCAGTTTGACAACTCCGTGATTCTAGATAAGATTTTTGTGTAGGAGAAAAGGGATCTCTGACAGTGTTATTTTCCATACACTGTTTCATTTAACTTCTACCAGGCTTCCTCTCTGTAGCACATGCAGCAAAAGTGATGCCAAAATGTCACCTTGCAAGGCAGATTGGCCTGCCTCAGTCTCTGTCACAGCTCTGACCCTCACCTCCATTCTTCCCTCTATCTTGGCTTCATTTGCTCCAGGTTCAATGTCCCAAGAGCCCGTGTCCTCCAGGCCAAGATTAAGACATGTAATGGAGAAAGAATCTGGCCTCTATCAACTATCCTTGATGGTAGGCAATAGGAGCTGACTGTCACCAGGAATTGCCAATCCACCCAAATGACAAGTGATAGCAAATTGTTCCAACAGGAGAACAGAGTACTCAGACAAGAGGGGATTTGCATGTGAGACAACCAAAAGATGATTCATGTCCTCCACGTCTGCTTTCCTGAGCTCTCTGGTGTGGGCACTTTGGGGAAAGAAGGGAACCTGAGCCTTCATTAAGCTTTCTAAGGATACTGGCTGAAGCAGATATTCTATCCAGGCAGGACCTTTCAGGGGCAAGCATCTGCTTGCAGGGGAAGAATCTGCTGTCTCTTTCAATGACTGCTAACACCTTCCACTTGTTTGTTTGTTTGTTTCAGATAAGGCCCCCCAGAAGAAAACTCAAGGAATCAGTTGACTTGGTTGTCTTTTTCTAACTTGTTTAGAAATACTTTGCATTTCCATATGAACTTTGGATTTTAATTGCTTGGGAATTTAGTAAATGTCAAAGATTTTTTCATATTGGCCTTTTTATATTGATTAATGAGAAGGGAGATGGAACGATGGTGGACACAGAAATATTTCCAGCACAAAGTAGGCAAGAGGAACTGTGGCAATCTGATGGTATCGGAGAGGGGCCAAATCACCAAGTCACTTCAATGCTAAATTCTCTACAAATGGGCAGGATGGAGGGAGTACTCCCATCTATGGTCTCAAGTGAGCATGCTCAAGAATGTGCTCATCTCTACATGTGATCACGAATCTTTGATAAACAAATATGCATGGGTCTTCCCAATAAAATACCTTTACCTCACGTGTTCAGGAAGACACTGCTTTGGGAGTCATCCCCGCTGCTCTCCTTATTTGTACAAACACCAACCCCATTTTACTCTCCTGTGTCCTGATTGTGTTTATTGGCATTGCTTTCTCCAAGGGAAGAACTATCATGTTTGATTATAGTGGGATACAAGTGTCACCCAACTAGAAGGCAGTTTGCTTACCACTTCATTTTTTATGGTGTTCTTGCATGAAATACAGCAATGAAGAAGCTATCTGAAATCTGGAGGTATAGGTGGGGACTCTTTTCTGGCTCTGACTCTCAGTGTCTTGCCACAACTACATTGTCAAAGAGACCAGCAGAGAAAGTGTTGAGGACAATATTCAGGACAAGGTGCTGATATTCAGTGCCTAGGTCACAGGATATATGGCAACATCTCAGTGTGTCATAGATGAGCACCACAATGTCACTGTTAGCCCAAGCTGGGCATAGATTGATGTCATCAGTTTGCCACAGGTCACCTGCCTAATTCATGCTGGAAATATCTCTGTGTTCACAGTGGCTTCATTTCATCTCCCCTCTCATTAACTAATCAGAGTAATAAGGCCACTATGAAACATCTTTGACATTTATTCAATTCCTAAGCAATTAAAACTTAAAATTCATGTGGAAATGCAAAGCACCTAGACTAGCCCAAACAAGTTAGAAAAGAAAAACCAAGTCAGAAGGATGATTCCAAGACTTCGGACAGCTCCAGATGTCAAAATAGTGAGTTATTGGCATAAAAAATAGAGATTAGCAGAAAAAATAGAGAGACCACAAGCCAACATATACAGACAAGCAATTTTCAGGATAATTGCAAAGGTAGAAAAAGGATGGCCTTTTTGATAAATTGTGCTAAAACTAGTGGGTAAAGCTAGGAGGTATACTTTAAGGTATACACACCTCAATCCAGAACTCACACTTTATTCAAAAATTAGTTTAAAATGTATTGTAGACCTAACTGTAAAACTTAAAGCTATAAACCTTCTAGGAAAAAAAGTTTTGTGATGTTAACTCAGGAAAAGTTTTCTTAAGTGAGATCTCAAAACTATGTAAAAGAACAAATTGACAAATTGGTCATTGTCATAATTTTAAACTTCTGCTCCTTGAAAAACATTGTTAATAGAATGAGATTATTGGGAGAAAATATTTACACACCAGAGTATGTAAAAATCCAGAATATAGATATAACTCTCAAAAGCCAATAGCAAAGACTTGAAACAAATGCTTTCTCAACAACGATATACAGAAAAGATGCTCAAAATTCATAGACATTAGGGAAAGGCAAGTCAGAACCATAATTAACACCCCAATATACCTATTATAATGACTAACACAAAAATCGACCATTCCATGCATCAAGGAGGATGGGGAAGAATCAGAATGCTCATACACTGCTGGTAGGAATATTAAAATGGTAAATCATTCTGGGAAAGTTAAGAAGCTTCCTAAAAAGATAAACATAGGATCCACTCAGGTCAGTTGACAAAAGTTTAAAGTACTTAATTCATTATGTGCTACATCCTCTCTCTTACTTGAACATTAATTTTCTGAAAAACCACTTTGGTGAGATAATTGTCAGTGGATGAATCTAAGATCTTAGGGTTCAAGTGAACAAAAGCACCTTTAAATATTTTATATTTGTTAAAACGAAAGCAAATAAGTAAGTAAAATATTAGTAGCATTAAAAAGTAGGATCCAGCCATTCTATTCATAAGCATTTACTCAAGATAAATGGGAATAAAAATTCATGCACCTCATTGAATATAAGTATTCATAGCATCTTCATTTGTAATAGAAAAAAAAGCTATATATCCATCAAAAAGTGAATGGATAAACAAATTGTGGTATATCTATATAGAGGAATACTACTGAACAATAAAAAGGAACAGACTATTAATATATGCTGTAATGTGAGTAATTCTGAAAATACTAATGATGAATGAAAGAAGCCAGATGAGAAAGAGGAAATATCATATGCTTTCCTTTATATACAACCCCTGACAATGCAAAATTATCCACATATTATTCTGTGACTTGCTTTTTTTGTCCTACAGTTTGCTAGTGATATCCATATTAAATAGAGCAAAATTATTTTCCATGAACAGTCATGAACCATGTAACAGTGTTTCAATCAAAAATGGGGCACATAACATGATGGAAATTCTATATTTCCTAGTGACAATATCCCTCTATTAGTTTAGTACAAGCACACTCCATGAAGTTGACACAATGATGAAATTACCTGACAGTGCATGTCTCAGAACAAATCTCCATCATTAAGTGACACATGACTGTACTTACATCATTTTGCCCTTACCAGGGGTGTGTAAGAGATCTGCTGGGTTTAAACCCACAACAACACTTAATATGTTCAGACTTTTTAAATGTGACCATTCTGGATTATGTAAAATGGCATCACAAGATGGTCTTTAAATTTCATTTCCAAGGATTACCTCTTTGTGTGTTAGTTCTCCCTACCAGATGTTCCAATTTTGAAGGGCAGGAATCATGAATAATTCAGCTTTGTAGCTCCAACATGTATCACATGGTTAGCACACAGCAACCAATTAATGCTGGTGAAATAAATAAATGATGCGTGTTCACAGGCCTCCCAAACCACAAGACTCAGAGGGAACAAACTAAGAAGCCAGTGTGTGAAAGAGGAAAAGGCTATGGAATGTCAGGAGAACACATCTCTTGCAAGTTAGACCGTTGTGGGGGGATACAGGTGAACAGAAGTACTGAACCTGAAGGAAGGAATCCTGCCTTGTTTACGTATGTGACTTCCCTTGGGAATAACTTCTCCCTTGTATACAATGATGCCAAGTGGGGTGAGCAGTGGAAGGGGAGATGATCCCTCTTTCACAGAGTGATGTGTATCCAGGATCCACAACAGAAGTTGTGGGCTCCTCTACCACCTTGACTGGCTTCCTCATCTCAAGACCATTTGTTTGATCTCTGCTTTCATTTTTCACACAGAGACCAAATATTGGCCTCCACCAGAGAGGGACTAATTGAGCAGGGTGGATGCTAAGTCCGTTAAGAGATTGAGATCAGCAACAGTGGGCACAGGGGGGTTGCTGTTGCCGTGATCAGCTGCGTCATTGGACGACCCTTTCTCCTCAAAAAAGCTTGTGGCCCCATCTTCCTCCCCAGCCACCAGTGGCAGGCCCCTGGCAGCTGCCTCTTTGCAGAAATCTGCACTGAAATTAAACCCATCAAACTGTCAGCCCTGTTATGGGGCTGCTCTCATGTCAGCCCATGTCATGACAAAGCTGATAGAAATGGAGCTATTCAAGCTTCACAGGAGTGTCTGTTTCCTTTTTTAAATCGCTTTAAAAAGAAGCTTGAACAAAAATGCCTGCTTTGCCATGCAGATTGGAGTGGCTGAGGCACACAGACCAGCTTTTCTTGCCTGCTTAGTAGTGCTGGTGTGACACTTCCTCTAGAAGTTTCAGGACCAGAAGTATCAGGAAGTCAGCAGAGGAGAGAGAGAGAGGATTCTGAAAAGAACAGCCTTGGGAGGGAGGGAGGAAGAAGGGAAGGGACCAACAGGGTGAAGTCCTTCCTTCCTGAGGTCCTCTTCTTAAACATCACCCAGCACACCTTTGTAGGACCAGAGCCCTCGCCCCTGGTTAAAACTGAGGTAGATGAACAGGTGGAGAGTAATCGAAGGATCTCTGTCCCAAAGCAACTCCAAAGCTTCTAAAATATTAGAGATTCTTTCCTCCAGTCCTCCCAAATGCGTTGGCATTTGCAGCGTGGTGAGAGTGGGCAGAGCGGAAGCTGAGGGTTTCTTACCCCAAACACAAACAGCTTCCTCTTTGACAGGTTTGTGATTCAGGATTGCTCAGCAACATAAAATCTGCAGGGTAGGGGGAGGAAAAATACAGAATTAGCTGAATCCCTGCTGCTTCTCCATCTTCAAGCTATTCCCAGCCCATCCCATGCACAGGAACACACACACACACACACACACACACACACACACACACACAAAATGGATGTCTAATCCTGATGACGAAATGACCCTAAACACAGATTCACATTCAGCATCTGAGCATAGAGGTAGAAGGAATCTCAACAGCTATTTCTCCCTTGCCCCTCAATTTAGAGATGAGGAAATTGAAGCCCAAAGAGGTCAAATGACTTTTCCAAAAATGCACAGGTTGATAGTGACAAATAAGGAAAGAAGATCTTTTGCTCCTGCTTTGGGCTGAATTTGAATGAGCAACAAAAACTAATTGGGAAGTCAAATCTTTCTGTGGAGAAACATAGAGGATGTTGGAGCATTGCAGAAAATCACCTCAGGAGTGGTTTATCTAAGATGATTCTAGAAATGAGAAAGTATCAGAGAACACACACACAGATGAAAAAAAATTATATGGGGACAGCTTTACCTTACTGAAAACAGGATAAAGTAAATGGTTGAGGAAATTTTGCAATATGGGCAATGTCAACTATAGTTAAGATTTCAGTTTTCATTGATACAAAGGAACCCATAATTTCCTGTGCAGCTCTTTGACCATCTTCAAAAGGAGATGCTGCCTTGGCTTTTAATGGTGTTAACAATAATAGTTTTCATTAATTGAGCAGGTATAATGTATCATCACACGGAGCATTAGTTCATGCTATATAACCCTCAGAACAACACTATGAATAGATAACAATGTCACCTTCTTCATAGTTACAGATGAGAAACCTGAGCTACCAAGAAGTTATGCAATCTTTTAAAGTTTTACAGCCACTAAGAGCCCATTTGAACACACTTGTGAGTGTTCCAAATCACGCTTTAAATCAATTCTTGTACTGGATGGAGGTCAGGAGGAGTACTCTAGATCTTCCTGTGCTATGGGCAAGTCAACTCAAGACAGTTGTCCTTGATGACTTATAAGGTGATGAAAAATCTGGACCTGGCTCTGCCACAGGTGTGTGGCTTTGGGCAAAGATGCAGTGAAAGATTGACTCAGCAAAGCTGAGCTTTCCAAACCCTGCACCTTCTAAATATCTCCTGAATTGGCCTTTAACCATCTCCTGGGAGATAACCTCTGAGCCCTTGAATACTCTTATTGGCAAAAGTATCTCTGTGTTCCTGGACCTTGTGCCACACTAGACTACTTATGCCAACAGTGTGATTTATGATGGACCTTTTAGGCCACACCACATCAGTCTGACCTCTTGGGGGCAGGATGTCATACAGGTCCTGGACATCCCCCACAAAAGTCCTAGACACCAAGGTCCAGGTGAATTTTCCTGAATTGGAAAACTTCACATGTGCTGTCACCCACAATGCAACTGGGGGAATCCAGCACTATTGGTGGACTATACCAGGAGAACAATAAAAATCTCATACCTGGATTCTTCCGGCTTCTGTCATTTGAGCCCCTTTCTTTTGCTGATTTTGATCTATACCCTTTCACTATAAGTTGGAATTGTGAATATAACACATTTTTCTGAGTTCCGTGAACTTTCTAGCAAATCATCAAACCAGAGCAGATTTGGCAGCCCCTGACACTGGAGGTCAACTACTCACCTGGCCCTCAGTAACTTCATATCTTGAATAAGGAAGCTGATTTACAGCCCTCGATGACTTCCGGGAATTGCCCAACTCTGTCTTTAACCCCACTTGGCAATTCTCTAGCTTTTTTTCTTTCCAAATCCCATGTACCTTATTTATGCAGCCCTACCCACAGTAAGGCTTTTCCTGCTGTGGGTCCCTGGACTAAGCCCCCCAAAAGACCTTCTACTGGCAGACAAGGGTGTGACTGAGTCTCAAAAAAAAAATGTGTTGCTAAGTCTTCTGGGTTAGAATGTATTCTCCCCTCTTTCCCTATTACAGAACCCTTTTCTGGCTTGGTACCTAGCTCCCTGGAATAAAGAATAAATTTTCCAGCCTTTCTTACAGCTAGTGGTGGCCATGTTACTAAGTTCTGACCAATAATATATAAGCAAAAGTGTAATATGGGAGTCCTGGGGAATGCCTTCAAGAAAAATGTTCTCACTTTTTATTCGGCTCTCTCCTTGTGGGTGGAACACAGACATGACTGCTGGAGTCTGGGCAGCTCTTGGTCCATAAGGAGAAGGCCAGGTTCTACAGATGGCACAACAGGGAGATGGAGAGCTCCCTGGGGATTCCAAGAAGCCACCTGCCAGCTATGAACTGTCTCCTCCACGTTTCTTTTTCATGAGAAACACATCAAGTATTCATCTTGTTTAAGCCACTATTATTTTGGATTTTCTGCCACACAGTGCTGAACTTTCCCTACCACATAGACTACATCTTCCACCTAATGACAGATTTTAGCAGGGCTCCCAATTTGAGTCCATCTATTGCCTGTACAAGAAAGCAATGATGATTCATTTAAAAGCACTCTATTCAGAGTACTATCTTCTCCTGTTTCCTACAATCAAATTACCAAGAGAACAATTGGATTTTTCAAGTCCCTCAAAATGTTCTTTTTAGATGTTCTTGGTATTAAATAGTAACAGAATTTAAATGGCATCAACAAAACACACAGACGTGACTGCGGTGATAAGTTACATAAATCTGTGGGGGACAGAACCTCACAAGAGCACACTGGATGCAGCAAAGATGGGAAAACAGCACAAAACAGAACCCGAGAGATCTGCTCCGGCTATGACCACCTTGTCACAAGCAGCCACCTACTCAGATTCAGGGGCATCTTCCTTACCCTTAGGGTCAGAGAAACTCAAACAGTTGGTGGTATTAAAGGACTGGGGACCCACCTTAATGTTTTTCATTTCCTGAACATCCATCACAGACACTGAACTTGAAATCAAAAATGGAAGCTAAGTCTTACTCACTCTTTCCATCCCCAGTGCTAAGCACAGTGCTGGCACAGAATAAGCTGGAGGTCAGGAGGCCTGGCTCCAGGCCACCTGTTGTATAGTGCTACCAACCAAGGGGCAAAATCTGAGCCCTGGTCACCATCCTTTTTCACTTATCACATATTGAGCCCCGAATATGTGCCAGTCCCTGTGCCTAACGCTTCACTGTCATCTACTGTAGCTTCTGCAACCACTCTGTGAAGTATAAGGATTACTACCCCCACTTTACAAATGAAGCAAGTGAGCCATGAAGAAGTTAAATCTCTTACCCCAAAAATCTCTGAGCTCTCAAGGGGCAGAACAAGAATGTGAACCCAGCACTTCTGATTCAAGAGTCCATGTACTCAGACCCACTGTACTGTGAGCAAGAAGGCATGATATGGTGGTGGTGTTGTTGCTGTTACTCTTAGTTCTACTACCATTATTATTATTATTATTATTATTACTGACTCAAAGGAGAAAACTTACACTGAGGGATACCTGAATTAGCACCAGGCCTGAAATTATTTTTATCTTATTTTTTTATTTCTTTGGTGTTACTGGGGACTGGATCCAGGGTTACCCTACCATTGAGTTATATCTCCAGCCCTTTTCATTTTTTACTTTGAGAAAGGGCCCTCACTAAATTGCTGAGGCTGGCCTTGAATTTGTGATTCTCTTGCTTCTGCCTTCCAAGTCACTGGGATTACAGGTGTGCACAAACTTGACCAGCTTATGCCTGACATCATATACATATGCCTAATGTACAAATAAGGCAAGTGGGGCTCAGGAAGGTGTAAAACCTCCAGAGAGCTCACAACTCTAGCAGTAGTATCTGGATTTCATCTAGGGCTCCCCAGTTTCGAAGCCCATGCTCTTTTCATTTATTGTGTGCTTCCTCCCTGCCTGCTATAATGGAAGGGCCCCTCACCCCATGAGCTCACATCAATTCTTCCCAGAAGTTGAACACTGATTCCTACTGAAGGCAACTGGCCATTGACAAGAAAAACTTTTTAGTCATACTTATTGACATTATTGACATTTGAACTTATAAAATATAAATGTGTATATATCATACATATATGTGATAAATAAGTATATATTATGCATATATACCTATAATACATATATATTTATACATATTTTGAGGCAATTCAAAGAGACCACATATAAGATTAAGAAAAACGTCATTATAAGTGAGAAATAATATGTTGCTAAGATTAAGATTAATAAGAGATTAATAAAAACCTTTTGGGTCTTAGTCTGGTATTGCAGTTAGTTATGTGTCAATCATACTCACAAAACACACAAAAAAAGCTATAACCCAGAAGTGTTGACCTTCTATTATGGAAGACTGCAGGCCTGTTAATACACCCAGTCCAGCAAGAGGCTCAGCGGCACCTGAGCTCACAGCTCCCTTGACCCACATGGGGCAGGCTCAGCTGCCATAGGTGAGAGTCAAAGCACAAGGGGGCGGGGGTCACCTGAACAATTAACAGCACAGAGCACTGTGGTTTGTCACCAATCTTTAATTCCACCCTCACCCTGCAGGCCCAGGCCCTGCATGCCAACTCACTGTTCCCCGAGCCAGGCAAAGTCTTCCAGATCAGGGGATTCACAAACACAAAATTCCTCAATTGTCTTTTATTGTGCAGTTTCTACAAAACAATACTATGAGAAGATGGCCTCTGGGGTCACCCAGGCTTGATCTCAAACCTAGATTCTTAGGTATCATGTTAAAGAAGATCATTTAAGAAGCGGGGTTGTAGAGTGTATGTTCTGTACCACTAAAAACTGTGATGGGCTGAAAGAAACAGAAAACGTAACCAATATTTGCTTAAATACACAGGGACTCACAGAAGATGCCCAAGAATGCATTCCTGAGCTGGTGCCGCTGCCCAGGAGTGAATCCTGAGGGGGTGGAATTCTGCCTGTGCCTGTTGCCTGTGGTCACCCCAAAGATAGAGAGCTCCTTATGCCCTCATGTCGGCAGAACAGGCCACAAAAAGAAGGAAGGGAACCGGAAAGGGGACAGAACTCATAAAGGGGACACAAAAGTTTTTCCCGAATTCCCCATAGGCATCCTCTCACATCTCATCAGGCTTGTCCAGATCACTGGGCCATCATAGCTACAAGGGAATCAGGGAGAATGTTCTTCTGATGCCCAGAGCTGTCTCAAACAAAACAGGGTTCTATTGGTAAGGAAAAGGGGGAAATTGGACATTGGGTAATTGGATAGGTAATCTTCAATTTCTATCATATCTGACAACCTTGAAAATGACTTTTCAAACTCACCAGGCCCCCACAATTTTGGGTGGCCTACCCCATACACTCAAGCCTCTTTCCCGTAAACAAATCTTCCTCTCCCAAGCCACAGCTTTCCCTTCCCACCTCACACACCAGGGAGCTAAACAAACACAGGTGTCTGTCCTCAGCACACACCCAGTTGTTCCCTCCAGTAGCCACAAGCCCTTTAGGGAAACCACTGAGGAATTTCTATTCCCAGGCCTCCTTTTTAGAGCTTCAGTAAAGGCTTGACTTTTACAACTAGAATTTGGAAGGAATACCCCAAATACACAGCATTTCTCCAACAGAGCAGGAACCACCATTGCCCTGGGCAGGCCCCCAGTTTTGCTCGGTGTTCTAATTTTTCCAACTAGTTGCTGCCCCCTAAATTATGCTATAAAAATTGTGTGGTGACTATGACCTAGATATTTCTTGGAGCATCTTGGAGCCATTCTAACAGCTGCTTGGAGATACTTTAATGCAGAGTCTGTATCAATCTAGTGTGGTCAAAACTCCCAGTAGATAGTGAACTTCTTGACTTGGGAGACAGCCAAGAAGGCTTCCTGGTCACCTCTGAAGGATGACAGTGTAGTGCATCAGGGAAAGGTTTGATGTGCCTTCAGACTCTAAGAGACAATCATCTGAATTTTTGTAGAGTGCTCTGTTTTCCTTCAAAACAGCATCAAACAAAGTTATGGGGCTCCCAACAAAGAGAAAGATGAGTCACAGAGTTTGAACATTACATTCATGGAAACTTGATGGTAAACTCAACTAGCAGTTGGCTGGCATGAAATTCTAGATGATTATTTAGGGCACCAATTTAGAAGTTTTAAAAAAAAGTCTCATAAGAAGAGGTGCCTCACAGTAGCCCCATGGGGGTGATTTGGAAGGGTATTTGAAAGCTGCCAGCTAGAATTTCAGGAACTATAGACTAGAGAAACAAGAGAATACCATGACTATTGTTTATTATAAAACTAAAAGTTAAAACTAACCTCTCTTTTACTTCAAGTAGGGAACCTGAGAATAAGAAGAGGAGATGCTATTAAACAGAAAAGCAGACAGTCCTAGTGTGAAATTTAAAAAAATCTTAACCCAAGGATTTTAGAATCTGAAAGCTATGTTAAGAATTCATAAAAGTTTCCAATATGCTCTAAATCAAATTAAAATTGCTTCTACAAAGGTGGATCTTAAGATCACAAGAACTATTTGGGAAAATATCTATAGATAAATAAAATTATCTTCTTTAGTTACAGGGGTAAGATTTTGGAAATAACAACCTATATGTGGTAGATTAATTACAAAAATAGTCTCAGTTCTCCACCATGCCCTGGATCACTCTTCATCAAGGGACTTTGCAATCCTTCCTATCTAGAGATAAAGTCTATTTTCCCTACTCCCAAATCTAGGCTGGGATTTCCATCCAATAGAAAGTGGGAGGAGTAAAATCATGTCAAGTCCAAATTTTGGCCTCAAAATGCCTTGTCTGTTTCTTCTCTTTTGAAACCACTTCTGCCATAAGTCAAGCTGGGCTAACTTGTAGGAAGAGGAGAAAGCTCATAGATGAGGGCACTTTTCTCATAGCCACAGCCATCCAATCAACCTCAGCTAGCCGACTGCTGGACGACGGAAGAGGACCAGCCAAGATGTGCAGAGTTGCCTGCCTGCCCCACAGCTTGCCTCAGATGTATGCAGAAGTCCAGGAGCTAAAGAACTCCTAGGCTTGTAGGCAATAATAAATGCTTATTTTTTAAGCCAGGGTCAGCTCTTTGTATCAAGGACCAGAGATTAAGTATTTTAGCTTCCTAGGCCACATATGGCCTCCGTTACATAATCCTTTGAGTTTTGTATTCACTTTGGAGATATAAAGCTATTCTCATCTTCTGGGTACCACAAAAACCTGATGTGAGCCATAGTTTTCCAATCCCTGCATTAAACCACTGAGCTTTGGGATGGCTTGTTACACAGCAAAAACTAACTAATATACCACATGGTTTTACTTGTCCGTAAACCTTGTTCCCTTACAGATAGGACTAAATTATGAGGGTTTTTCCTCAAGTATGAAAGATCAACTGCTACCAGAAACAAAAAGAAAGGCCATCAATCTACTTTGAATCTCAGAGCTGATTTTCTGAGTTCCTTTAATAAAACAAGAGCCATAAAGCCAGTCTTTGTAATGAGAAAGAGATTTCTAAACTTTAACATGGGACTCCAGAAAATGATGCTAGAGTATAAACCCAAAAACATCAGATAGGACCAATTTTATTCCACTGGAATTGCTAGAACAGACAGAAGCTGTTATTCTGCAGCAGAGACCAGCAAGGATCCAAAGACAGAGTGAGTCAGCAGCCTCCTGTATGACCATGAAGTCATGTAAGCTCAACCCCCATGAGACTCTAGCTATCATTTTGTGGAGATCTAAAGAAAAGGGGAAGGAAATAAGAAAGCATGAGCATTTATCTGAGTCATGCCTGCAGAAAATGAGTAGGCTCTTTAAATTATTGGATTGGACTGATTTTTCTGTACTGGGCTTAATTTAGTTTTTCCTTGCTACTCATTGAGTTTGGAAACTTAAAAGGAAGTGTCATGGTTTGGGTATGAGGTATCCCCCCAAAAGCTCATCTGACAAGGCAGGAATGTTTAGAGGTGAATAATAAGAGCCGTAACCTAATAATTAGATGGGCTAATAATTTGAAAGGACTGCTGTACTGGGTGGTAACTGGGGCATGCCTTTGGGGATTGATTATATTATGTCCCTGGTTCCTCATATGCTCTCCCCTCCCTCTCCTTCCCAACCCTCTCCTTCTCAGGTGCCATGAGGAAAGCAACTTTCCTTCTCCTCCATGCCCTTCTATCTTAATGTTCTGCATCGTCTTAGGTTCAGAGCAATGGAGTCAACCAAACATGGATTGAAACCTCTGAAACTGTGAACCCAAATTAAACTTTTCCACCTCTAAGTTGTTCTTGTCAGGTATTTTGATCACAGCAATGAAAATCTGACTAACACAGGAAGAGATATCAGTTGTAGGAAATTATATGTATCTATTAGGGGTCAAAAATATTAAAAGAGAGAGAGAGAGAGAGAAAAGAAGACAGGGCCTGGGGTTGTGGCTCAGTGGTAGAGCGCTTGCCTAGGGTGTGTAAGGCACTGGATTCAATCCTCAACACAACATAAAAATAAATATATAAAATAAAATAAAGGTATTGTGTCCATCTACAACTAAAAAAAAAAATATTTTTAAAAAAGAGAAGACAACAGATACACACAGAGAGGAGGAGGCCTCATGTCAAAGGAGGAAAAGATCACAATCAGTGCAACTTTATAAGCAAAAAAATGCCAAGATTACTAGAGACACCGGGAACTAAGACAGGTGTGAAACAATTCTCACCTTGATTTCAGTCTTTCAGCCTCCATAATTGAGAAATAATAATCTCTGTGATTTTTGCACTACTCCATCTATGGTACTTTGTTACAGCAAACCTAGGGAAACAAAAATACACAGAAAAAAAATTACAAAGTCCATTGCTTTTAAAGAAATGATTTACAGCTCCTCATCAATATCAGTTTGATTATTCCAACACTACTTTTCTTAAATCACACTTCTAAAATTCAAGCTAGCCCTTTAGGGACCCTTGAATGCTAGAAGAAAGGAAGTCTTATCTGCCCCCAGGAGGATAATACGAACTTGGAGGTCTCAGGAAGGGCATATTCCAATGCCTCTGAGACTTTCATTATAGTTTGAGATTTGTTTTTGAGAAGAAAGGCTGATGTGTTTTGCAAGAATAGCCTACGTTTTGAAATCTTTAACTTTGGGGGTGTACATTAAAATTTAGAATGTGATGGGAATGCTGATTTCTGGACCCCATCATCAGAGATTCTGATTTGCTTTATTTAAAGAAAGAAATTCTAGAACCAGTCTCTTTCGCAAGCACCCTTTAGTGGCAAAGCAGTTTTCAGAAAAACAAAAATAAAAGAACCTTCCCTAGGAGAAGCCATGGAGCTACCCCAAAATTCAAAGTGGTAGAAAGCTCATATTCATCCCCTGTCCATTTGGGAAGCTGTCCCAGTGTAGGGATGGCTAAGGAAGAGCTTGGGCACCACTGTGCCACTCATCTGTGAGATCCCTCAGGCAGGAGGAAGAGGAGAAGGGCTGAAGTAACCCTTCCCTGGGCCTTTAGACTCTGTGAGAGGAGTGCCCCCTAGTGGCCACATTTAGTTTTCCTGGTACCTGGTCATGAGAACTGAGCTAGTACCTCAACTCCTCCACAAAAATGAATGGCTACAACATAAAGCAGGGAGATAGAGGCATTTATTGTGATCTCAACTCATGGTAATAAATATGAAATCATAACACAGAAGTAGAACATCTACAGGAAATAGCAACTGCATTTTATTGGTCTTAAATTTCATACCAGAAAAGAAAATCACTACCAAGATCTGAAAACCTGAAGTCAGGTATTATTTTTTTCAAATCCATTTCAGAAGAAAGGGATAGATAAAATTTTAAAACACAGGATTGAACTGGGGGAGGCCAGGAGGGTGCAGGCCATTTGCAAAATTCTTTGGAAAGAAAAATCTCTGTGTAATTTTAAGAAGAAAAAAATTGAGCAACATATTTTTTGAATTAAGTTTTTTAAAATGCATTTTATTTTTAAAACCAATGTCTACTATAAAATAAATTGTTTTCCAACCAATCCCATTCTACTAAGTAAGTTACAAAATAATAAAATAATTAACCTCAGAATTCAATCTCTGTATCCAACAAGTCCCTATTGTTTGCAAGCATCTATGTATGTGATAAAATAATTCCATGATTTTACTAAACATCTATGTAGCAGGCTTCACATGTTATCTCTACTGAGTTAAACAATCCTGCCAGGTAGATATTATTAATCATACATTTTTAGGTGAACAAATGAGCAATTAAATAATTAAATAAACTCCCTAGTACTAAGTAAAAGATATGGGATTTAGATTAATACTTTCCCAATGCCAGAACTTAAGAATAATCGTCTGTAACACTCACCTCTCTGAAGAACTGGAACATGTCTTAAACTTCCACTTTCCACAATAAAGATAGTGCTTGAAATGAGAATTAACACTATGTGGGCATGAGGAATCTTGTTGGGATGACGAAAATGTTCTACAACTGGATTGTGGCAATGGTTATAAAATTCTGTAAAGTTGCTAAAAATCAGGGAATTGTATGCTTGGCATGGATAAAGTCTATGACATGTAAATTACATCTCAATAAAGCAAATAAAAATACAGTGTGAAAAAGGGAATAATACAATGCAATTAAAGTAAAATATAAGAGTATAAGGGATATACTTATTTGGATAGACTGGTTTCCCCACAAACTTGGGGATAAAATTAAGTGTAGATCAGATCTAGAAGTAAAACAGCAGAGCAGGACCAGAGCTTTGTCATCAAGATGGACTTTGGAGCCTTTGAGCACCCTCTGTTGGCTGAATTTCTCTCCCTAGAAATAACCACTTTCCCATCAGTATTTATTTTTCCCTTTCTAACAAAATCTGTTTGCAGAACTTTTATTTATACTAATGTGTAAATGACTGGTTCATATTTAAACAGCTTCTCTTTAAAGTATTAAGTAATAAATCTCCAAATATAATATTTTACTTGATTTCCAAGTCACACCAAGATCAACATGCAAAGTCTAAACCCGTTCTTAACATAACCCCGCCCCCAAGTCATCTCCCAACTCTAACTTCCCTGACTCTGTTTGCTGTCCATGGTCCTCTGCCTCCTGCCCCATCAGTTAACACAGATCTCGGCCGATTCATAAAGTCTCCCAGCTCCAAGTACATGAGGGAGCCCCAGAGGTTAAGTCCTATCAGTTCTTGGGTAATTTACGGCTGTCAGCCAGCAGTCATCATTTGTATCTTTCTCCACTGCTCCAACCTCTCCACTGAGTACACTACATTGTTGAGACATTAGCCCCATTTTGCTATGGACCACCACTCCTACTGTGCGCTGTTCCTTTGCAAGCCAAGTACCTCTGTTGGTCCATGGGAGGCTTTGGAGGTCAGAGCCACAGTGTGAACACAGCTGCAGGGTGAGGTATGGTGAAGGGGGATACTGTGTTGTGCTAATAGGAAGGTCTCAGATCAGCCCTGCCTCCCCACCCCCACCCCCAGGAGGAAATTCAGAATTAAAGCTAGAAATGTTATCTGAATAAGATCTTCTCACCGGAAGGACCGCCTAACAAATTGCCTTCCTGTAATAAATGGAAATAGAATCCAAGGATCATTTTTAATCTTGATGGACAAACCATCCAAGCACTTTGCAGTATGTTACTCAAAGCGAAATTACACTGAAGTCAGCTTATAGCTCAACCCACGGTGACCTGTCCCACTCCAGTGAAGCCTTAAATTACCCAGCCTGCCAGAGGCCAGAAAAAATAATCCAACATTGCTTTAGCTACCCTGAACACAGAGCAGGTACTAGAACAGGGCAGAATATTACAAAGCTCCTTATTATTAAGTGGGATGTTGTCTAAGAAATCCCATAATCAAGCTGTAAAGCTAAGATTAACAGGGAACTGTGTCAATTAATTTTTAAAACTCGGTGTATAAGCACATTGGGAAGTTGTATTCATGATTATCTGGTTGGATTTTTATATTCTGTCTTTTTATTCTCCCTTGATTTCAATCTCCTGGGCAACCCTTTGAGCCTTGCTTTTTTCAATAGATTATTCTCAAGCAGCCTTTTTAAAAAATCAGCAACTTTTTTTTTTCCCCTGTTGAAAGAAGCAACAAAATCTGTTGATTTCATTTATAACTGCTAGGATTCTAAAGAGCCTAAAAATATAGATGCCAGCCCTACCTGGGATCCTGCTGCCGGATATTAGGATCTCTTGGAAGCATTTATTTACTGTCATTTTGCTGTTGTACTTCCTACCCAATTCATATGAAAACTTTCATTACAGGGATATCTGGGCCTCCTGTACTCTCAAATAATTGTTCCTTTCTGTTTGGACAGAGTTTGCAATGCATGTTCCTAAACAGTTTTATGCTTTTGTTATGAATTACTATTCTGAGGAGGAAACCAGATGAGGCCTTTGGAATTACTTTGGAAATGCGCGGTGGGGGCAGGTAGTTCCCCTTTATTCAGAGTTCCACTTTCTGAGCTTAGAGGCACCTGTGGTCGGTCAACCATGGTGCAAAAATATTAATATTGGTCTTGTTGTTTTCAAGAGAAAGAAAGACCACATAATTGTATTGCAGTATATTTTTATAACTGTCCTATTTTATTAGTAGTTATTGTTGTTAATCTCTTATTGTGCCTAATTTATAAATTAACCTTATCGTAGGTATAAATATAAAGGAAAATACATTTATGTGTGGGTTTTGGCACTATCTGCAGTTTCAGGCATCTACTTGGGGTGTTGGAACATATCCGCCATAGACAAAGAACATAAGAGCATTACTGTCTGATCCGCACATAGTGCTATTTTGGCAAGACCCTAACATCAGGACACCTGGAAGAAACTACAGACCTGCCTTGCCCTGATACCCACAATCTCTTATGCTATGCATGTGGTGTGCATGTGATCTGAGTCTGGCCCTAGCAGAAGGTAACTGTGCAGCCAACCAGGGAGACTCTGGAGGGGGAATGATGCTCCCAGCACTTCATGAGTCATGCCCTGAAGAACACCTTGACACAATCCCTCTCCTTGCAAAAAAAGGTTAGCATCTAGCTGGGGAAATTCAATCAACAGAGAGGAAACTACTAGAGAACAAGGCTGAGCCATAGGGCAGGGGAAGGGGGCTCATTCTTAGAAAAGTCACTGTTTGGTAAAAATAAAGTGTTTCAGAAAAGATGAGATTTGCATGAGAACGATTGAAAGAGGCAAAGTGGGAAGGTGGGCCTGTTTGGGGTATTGGAGAATCCATGTGAGAGAAGACACAAGTAATGCTGGAGTAAGTGGGAGAAAGAAACCGACTCAGTCAGAGTCTGGAAAAGAAAAAGAAAGCTCTTGTTCAAAGCGTGTGGGGAAGTGGGGTTAAGAAAAGAGCTGTCCGCTGAGTGATGGCAGATGTTCCACTGCCATGGGATGGTACGGGATCCCTGGGTGAGCAACTGTGGGGAGTCCTAAGCCCAAAGGGACAAGAGAAGAGAATGAGTACCAGGACTCAAGGAGGATAGCTCTCTAGAGAGAGCCACCCAGAAGCACCGATTGGCCTCCGTAGGAGGTGGCAACCAGGCCACCGAGAGCCCTCAGGGGTGACACTTGCCCCCCACCACCAACCTCCTTGTGTCAGTGCCTCCAGCCCTCTGAGACCAAGAGGACTCGGGGAACCAGCTGCTGCCTCTAAAGCATGGGGCAGAGACCTAGAAAGAGAAAGGTGGAGAGTAGATCTGGAGGGACCAAGTAAAGAAAGATGCAGCTCAGATGAAACTCTCGAGACCAGCTAGAGGCCAGGACATTTTGACAAAATGAAGCAGACAAGACTCCCGGACAGATGGAATATAATCAATCCTCTTTGTCTTCCAAGTCTCTGCTTAGATATTAGGTAGACCCCCAAGACCCCAATCACACTGCAACACACCACACTGTGTGAGTTCCCCCACAGCGCTCACTTGTACTTATCCTATTCCTTTGGTTATACATCAGCAATTGACCCCATGAGGGTGGAATTCCAGAGACACACACCCCCACACTGAAAATAACACCTCCTGGTGTTCCCTGAGTGGTAAAATCTGGACGATTCCTCCTGAATGAGAACAAAAAGCAAGCCCAAGAGCCAAGTGTGCTAGAACCCATCTCCAGTGATTGAAGGGGTTGTTGGGGAGCAGGACAAGAAACAGGAGGGAGAGAGGCCAAAAGCAACTCTCTGAATGTCACATGCCCTGATGCTGGCTACTGAAGATGACCACAAAATATGGCAGCGAGAGCTCTATGTCCCCTCCAAGGAGATTTCTCTGCACCTCCTGATTGTACAGCTGGCCGCCCCAGGTCACTATCTAAAGCGGCCCCTCTTTTTGCTGTAGCAGCCGGGGGCAGGCCATGCAACCCCAGGGCCTTTCCGGTAGGAGGGTCCTCAGCCATACATGGACTTATGGTGCACCCAGTTCCTGGGAAAGGAAGAACTGCTCTGACATCAAAGGGTCCGTCAGCATCGCTGTTCCAGAAACTGCTAACGCGATGAGTGGGCCGCACAAAGGTAGCAGGGTAACGATTAGCTCATCTCTAATTATATGGGATTTACGATTAGGCAGCAAGTTTATTTCGGAACACTGCAATAACAAGACGCCAGCAGTGGAGAGGACGAGGGGGCGGAGTTCTAGCTTGGCCTTTAGAATATAATAGCTTGCCGTTGCCGTGGAAACCAGCTCCCTGGGAGTTCACAGGCACCTTATTCTATAATTATAAGAGATCTGATAAGGGGGGTGGGGATGATGGTGTGTTCCCCCCCCCTTTATAAATTGTATTCATTGGCTGAAAATAGAAGAACCTGGAGAACAAAGCCTATTATTAACCACCATCTGCTAAGAGGCGGCTGCACTTCAGCTGCCTAAAGAGCTTGTTCCGGAAAGTTCTTGCAGATGTGCTCAGAATGCCAGGGGTCAGGCAGGACTGCAACCTTGAGAGGGAGCCTGTGTCCAGGCAAACCCAGCAGGATTCTCACTTCGTGCCAAAATGGGGGCCCCCCCATGGACTAGATTCATTGTCTGAGGGGACTGCTCAAGTCCCCCATCCCAGATAAATTCACAATTTGCAGAATCTCCTTTCTCCCTCCAGAAAGCCTTCCCCCTAATTCCCAGATTTAAAATCCAGGTGGAATCCCAGCCATCTAGTCGTGGGTCTTGGGGCAAGCTTCTTAAGCTTGCTGAATGTCAGTTCTTTCTTGGTTAAAGATTATTATGAGGATTACACAAAATAACGAAAAAAAAGGGAACATGTTTGGCACACTGGAAATTTCGTCTCATACAACTGGACCATCTCAGGAACTGAGCCAAACTCGCTTTGGGAGAAAATCACCCTTCATCTCAAAATCAAACCACCCATTTTCAGGTCGAATGATTTTATCAGTAATACTAGTAGACATTGAACAGAATAGGAATACCCAGTTGTTATAAAAACAATAATAACAACATTCATTTGTGAAATTCTGTAGCTTTAAGGTATTTTCTCCATATTTTATTGAGGTTGTATATGGCTGTAATGGAGTGAGTGGTTTCTCTGTGGAGTCATTTATAAGGAAGCCTGAGCGGTTGAAAAGCTTTTTTTCTAAATAGCATTCCCTTTTTAAATGGGTCATGGTCATTAAAAACTAAAGCCCAGCAGTATCAAGTATGGTTGTGTATGTTAAAGACAGTGAGTCAATAAAATCACCAGAAGCTGTTTTCTAAGCTATTCAAATTCTGCATCTAAAGAATTTGTTCAACTGCCCTCTAAAAGCAGGAAATGAGTGAGAAGAATAGAGAATGCTTCATTCTATTCATGACCATAGTTGCCTGTTGTCCTGAGTTAATGGTCTTTAAAAGCTAGAGACATATTAGGAGGAAATATCACCATTATTTATGCTTTTCTTCCCCATCTAGACGCCCATGGATCACCCATCTCTTCTAGAAGCAGCAAGAGAGTGTTCACTGATCACTGTCTGCTATCAGAATTATTATGGCTATGCATAATAGAATCTCAAAAGGATAATAGCTAAAATGGATTTATGTCTTAAGTATTACTCCAGAGGTACAGCCCAGGGCTGATGTGGGGATTCTGCTCATGGCATCCTCAGGAATCTAGCTCACCTCTCTGCCATCTCTATAACTTGGCTGCATCTTCATGGTTCCCCATGGAAGACATTGCACTGGCCCTCACAAGTGCATTCTAGAGAGTAGGAAGGGGAAGGGAGAAAGAATGGGAGGAGGCCAGGGTTAGAGTGCAGGCTTCTTTCCTTTGAAAGAAGATTCTTAGGAGCTTCCATACAATAACTTTTGCTTTCTCTCTTAGCCATATGACCACCTTAGCAACCAGTGAGGTTGGGTAGAGACTGAAGTCCTTGAGCTGGACAATCACATTCCCAGCTTAAAGTCAGGGGTGCTTGATGAAAGTGAAGTACTTGTTAAGAACATCCAGCTGTCTTCACCTTGGTCTTTTGCACTCTGATTTTTTTTCAATATCACTTCTTGCCATGTGACTCGCTGGAGGTCATCCTCAAGTCCAGGTTCAACTACATGGACCCAGGACGTTTCCATTCAGCCTGAGCTAACCTGAGGCCTTTGTACTGTGGTGCCAACCACCACCATACACTTCATGGGACACACAGCTGTGTTACAGGAATGACAGGGCACTGAGAGCCCAGCCCTTATCTGTAAGGAGCTTACCCCCTTTTGAGGCTGTCCTGTGAATTTCTCACGAGAAGACACCATCTCAAAGCCTCAGGTTGACAGCAGCCAGGAAACCAACCCAACCAAAAAGGTGAACTCAGCAAAATGTAGGGACTTGCTGATAGCAGTCTTCCTCCAGTGTTGGAGATTAAACACCCGAGGGACTCCAAGGCAAGCGTAGAAAGCAAGTTTTACTTAAGTAAGGGACAGAGATAGCAGACTTCTCCAAAGAGTTGGGTGTCTGTGGGAGTGGGTGTGTCTTGCTTTGTTTTAGACCCCAGAACCACCCCTACCTTCTCTTCTTCTCCATGTTCTTGCCTATGGGCAGGAAGGAGCAGGAACTGAGAGGGTCATCTTAGCAACCCATCGTCTTTTCTTTGATAACCAGCCCTCATCTTCTCAACCCCCATCATTCACCACCTACACTGACTGCCAGGCCTTCGCCCCCTGCCTCAGTTTGCTGAGGAATATGACATATATCCTGTCCACGCAGGCCAAGTGGGGCTGCAGTAGATTGCTTTTTGGCAAAGAAAGCAGGTGGGGAATCAGCACAGTGGGCTCATTTTATAGAAGTATTCTCTTAACCTCCCATCCCACCATCCTCATCTATGTATCCCTGTACATTACTAGAAAGATAATAGGCTCTGTCGTAGACGTCTAAGGCAAAAGAATGTGTCTGAGCCTAGGGAGGACCCGAGCAGAGGCTGCAGAGTCATGCAGGGTTTCCTCCCTCACTACATGTATCTTAAGAGAGACAATGTGGCTTTCAAGCTTTTGTGTTAGTCAGCTTTTCATCACTGTGACGAAAATGCCTGGCTAGAACAACTTAGAGGAGGAAAAGTTGACCTTGGCCTCACAATTTCACAGGCTTAGTCCATGGTCAGTCAACTCCATCACTCTGGGCTTGAGGTGAGGCAGAACATCCTGACAGAAGGGAAGGTGGAGCAGAGCTGGGAGAGTGAGGAAAGCAGAGACAGAGTGAGTCAGGGACAAAAATCCCCAAGGCTCGCCCTCAGTGACCTACTTCATCCAGCCATGCCCTACCTGCCTACAGTCACCACCCAGTGATTCATTCCAAATATTAATCCTCAAATGGATTAACCCACTGATGAGGTTACAGTTCTCAAAATCTAATCAGATCTCTTCTAGACATTCCTGCATTGTCACATGAGATTTGGGGGGACACTTCATATTCCAACTATAACAGCTTTCCAACCAATAGCTCAGTCACTTAAGAGAGACTCTGACCAGATGTTCTCTCTGGTGAAAAGTGAGGAAACACCAGGAAGTGATCCACTTGTCCGGCTTAGTCATGTGCTCACCCAGGGAGAAAGCAGGCCTGTCCAGGTGAGTCAGAGCTGAACAACACCGACGGAGTAGAAGCGCAGTTCCTACAAACAGGTAGCCCATTGGGCTGATTAAAACAATAGGTATCCATGACAACAGCCATTGCCTAGCTCTAATGAATGATTTTCACAACAGGTTGAAATAATGTGGGAAGGAATCACAGAGCTGTTGTCACTGAACCTTCGTCCATGTGACCCTGCCTGCTCACTTTCCAGAGCCCCTTGTACCTCTCTACCTGGAGGAAGAGGCTGTCTGCCCACAGATCCAGGGACAGACACATGAACCCTGTCCAGAAAGTACTGACTTTGCTCCAGGAAGGAGTCTCTCAAAGTCAGTGCACACCAAACACCCAGGAAAAGTATCAGACTGGATCGTGTGTAGACAGAGCAAAAGGAAATGAATGGACTAGAACAAGATTCCGCCCTAACTAGCCTGGTTATTGGTTCCTTTGCATGATGCCAGAAGGGTCTGAAGAGCTGACTCCAGGGGAAAGACTTACTCCACACTGTGTCTTCACTGCAGAAGTGACAGTAGTTCAAACCCCAGCTTCTAAGGATTAGGAGCAGCATCCTCACTAAGTCCGTGGGAAAGACTGGGGCTCTGCGTTCCTTGAACTTAACCCCCTCCCTCTGAGATTCTGTGACCTATCCAGTATCCTTCTGTACAAACTCCTTCTCTGCTTAAATCAGCTGAAGATGGCTTCTGGGACCTTGCAACTGGGACCTGTGACCCACACATTATCATAGAGAAACTGAGAGTGACCTTCATTTGTGAATACTCCATATGTTCCTCCAGTGAACAGAAGGCAATTAACAAGACTCAACAGTAATTCACTACAAATAAAATGCCCTGTGTCTCGGAACACTCACAAGCGCAGTGGATATCTGAACATCAATATGGGTTGATCAGGAAAAGAAGATGCTGTCGTCTGAAATCTCTAGATAGAATTCAGATGAGAGACCATGAGGGTGTGGGTGGTGGAAAGAGACATGTGAAAATAAAACACAAACTCAGTTCATTACTGTATTTGCATTTAGGAAAGTCTTCGGTGTCAGCATGTATGTATGCCACTGTGTTTTCTACAATCTGTGCAGTTTTTATATCATATCCTCATTGAAACGAATACCTCAGTATCCTTAAGCAGAATCCATTGCACCTTGGTTACCACATAAATTCTGTAGGCCCATAAAATATGGAAGGAATGCTATTCGAGCTATTACTTTTAAAGAATCTCTGGCCCTGAACAGTTGCCAGGGTCGTTCGGGTAGTCCAGGAGAGGTTTCGGAAGCAGGCCTGCAGGCTTCTTCAGCTTTGGTGATTGTTCTGCAGGGCACTGTGACCAAGACACTGTTATTTAGAGGAAGGTCATCCCTCTCCTTATCCTCCTAATAGGACACCTCAGTCCTTGGGGTGGGGAAGCTCCAGCTGGAGCCCACACGTCCAAACACCCCAGTGCTGTTTCTGTATGCATCCCTGCATAGAAATGACAATGCTGAATAACAGTGACCACAGGACTCAAAAAAAGCAGCCAAGACACCAACTGCCACCCTCTTGTTGTCCCACCCCCTCGGTGCCTCTTGCTTGCTCAGGGTCTTGGGGAAAGCTGGCTTTCTGAGAGTCTAAAATCTTGTCTCTAATTAGCCCCTATAGAAAAGCACTTCTGGATCATTAAGTAGGTAGAAAGTTGGGAGAGAGATGAAAAGTCTTTACACCAAAAAAAAAAATCTCCTGCTTTGTCTATCACCCCTCCCATAGACTTTCATAGGTATAAGAAAGCAGCCTCTTGAAAACTGAGCCCAAATATCATCATAGCTACCTAGGAGAAGACAATACCCGGGCACTCATACATTTCAGGATGAATAAGCCCCAGAAGGTAGGCTGAAAACCCTCTGCATTTGCACCTCACTACTCCGCAAGAATGGGAGAAATCAGGTCAATCACCCCTGAAAATTAAAAATGTATGCTCTACCAGGAAAGAACATCCCTGCAGTGACTGTCCCAATTATGCCTCATTAAGATGGCCCACAGAGGTCATGCTGGTCAGGATCAGTTTTAGATCAATTCTCAGCATCACCTGGACACTCAAGATCTTATCTTCCATCATTTGTTTTTCACTTCTCAAGGGCGAGAGAAAGGAAAGAACTAAACATATCAGCTCACTCACTCAAGTATTCATCATGAAGCCGTATTTCTCAGCTATTGCTAACCCATCTCTGCTTTTGCGGTAAGTGGCTCCTTTCAGGAGAAAAGAGAAGGAAAAGCCATCTGTCATTTCTCAGATCACAAGACGGCAGTCCTGGGATTGCCACCTCACTTCCCTGACAGAGCACCAAGAGGAAAACAGAGCTTACCAATAAGGGACTCACTTCGTCTCCTCCAGGCACTCAAAACCTTGTACTGAAGAACTTGCCCAGGAAGGACTCTGTGACCTTTAGGAAATGGAATAGGGTCCCTCTGTCAGTTACCTTTTCATTACTATGAATGACATTGGAGAGTCTAGTCTATGACTGACAGGTCCCATTTCTTTGTGCCTATAATGAGGGTCCCCATCATAGTGGGAGTCCTGGCAGTGTAAAACCTCTCATCTCATGGCCAGGAAGCAACACAGAGCTAGGAGGGAGCTAGGATTCCACAACCCCCTTCAATGGCACACTCTGAATGACCTCTAATGACCTCCCACCAGGCCCCAACTATTAAAGGTCCCACCATCTCCCTGGGGACTGAGCCTTAACACATGAGCCTTTGGGGACCATTTAAGATCCAAATTATAGCAAATCTGTCCAGGAATGCAACATGGAAATTAGTATTGTGGAAATAATGCAGAACTTGAAGCAAAAGCTTAGAGTTCAAGTCACAGTTCCACTACTTTCTGTGAGTCCCGAGTCATGTAACCTTCCTCATCATTGCTGATCACCAACACTGGATAATACCTATCTTAAGGTCTAGATGTGTTTACAGTCATGCATTGCTTAATGAAGGTGATGTGTTTTGAGAAGTGCATCATTAGATGATATCATCATTGTGCAAACTCACCAAAGGGTATTTACACAAACTAAGACAGCCATAATGTTACTAGGAGATAAAAATCTTATAGGTCCACCACTGTACTTGCTCTCCATCTTTGATAGCATATCATTTGCAACACATGACTGTACATGAAAGTATCCTAAAACTGCAGGTGGTATAGAATAAAGGCGTAACATTAAAAAAAATCCTTCTTCACTTTACATCAGTAAAATTTCTTCTCAATATATAAATTCTCAAAATCCATTTTGTTTCACTTCAATTTTTAAATGTTTTATCTGTCTTGACTCTGACCTTTAAAGCCAAACTGATGTTCTTTTAACCCAAAACACACAAGCCAGATGTAGATGCCCCACTCTTAACTTCTTTGTCCTTCATCTATCCTCTCTCAAAATCTCATCCCGATCTATCAGTGATCTCCTTCTTCACAAACCCAACTTCACTCTTGCCTTTGGGCTTAGCTTATTCAAAAAATACTTATTGAGTTCCTGCTGAGTGCCAGGCACTTTTCATTCACAGCGAACAAAGCCATCGACAATCGCTGTCCCCTGGAGCTCCTGTCCCACGAGACTCCTGACTATCCCAAGTTAGAATCCTGGTTTCCTCTAAAGGGCTGTCTAGATCTGGTATGATTGAGCACTTTGAGCCTCAGTTGTCAATTCCATCATCAAACAAAGGAGAATCTGAACATAAATGTCATGTGGAACTTTCAATCAGTTTAAATAAAACCCAATAAAGTATAACAGAGCATACAAATAAATAAATAAATAAACACACACACACACACACACACACACACACACACACACACTGGCATTTCATTTCTCATAGCCTCTTTCCATGGACTCTGGTTGGCTCTCAATCTACACCAGCAAGGCAGCCTCAGCAACTTCAGGTCTCCTCCTTAGACTGACCCACAGTCCATTGCCCTCTGAAAGTCCTGAATGTCTCCTGAATGTGTCCATCATTTCCTGTGGAACTGTTCTTTTTCTGAAACTAGAGGATGAAGGAAGAAAAACAAAACAAAAGACCCTTTTTAAAGTAAAAATTCCAGGTAATGGAAAAACCAAATTCACCAGAGTTGTTTCTAGAAAAAAAACAAATTCACCAATGTCGTTTCTAGCAGTTTGGATGCTCTATCTCTTTTCATGAACAATAATTTGGGATTCAATAAAATAAGTAAATAGTTTCATTGGTGGACCAGTTTGAAAATTGACTACTAGGTGATGAATTTTCTTAGTTTGTTTTTTCAGATTCTTTAAAATGTTTTTGGTCTGGCATAATGCTCAGTTTAAAAAAAAAGTAGTAAAATTTCAAATTAAGTAGGAGTTTAGCACTGGATCTTAAGGTCGTAACCAGCACATTACTCATAAAAGCAAAAAGATGTAAAGTTGCAATAAAACTGGAAGTAGAAGAAATTAATAATCTGACATTCTCTAGGAAGAATTCACACCAACCAAACATACATAAAAGCATGTAACAGAGGAGCAGATAAAAGGAGTTACAAGTTAAAATGGACTTATTAGCCCTTTGTATCACAGCAAACTTCTACCACAGAGACATTACACCTTTGCTACCTATAAGGTGGCAGCTAATTTCCTACTATTATGAAGCCACTTTCCGAAATGGCTGTTGTTTGTTTCATACTTTGGTAATCGCTATTGTTATCTACCAAATATTTTCCTCTCTCTCTCTCTCTCTCTCCTCCCCTCCCCGCTTCCTAAGTTTATGACAGAATTTTACTTCCCATTCCCTTGAGATTAGATATAACTATATAACTCACTTTGGTAATGGAAAAGTGTAGTGTGTCACTTCTGGATAGAAACTTTAATATCAGTACTCCTTTTGCCTCTGCTGAGTGGCCAGACATTCTCCTGATAGTAGCTGCTCCCACAGCCTAGATCCTGGCATAACTCTGCTGATCCATAATAGGCCTTTAGCAGGAATGAGAAATAAACTTATTATGTTAAGGCCCTGAGAATTGGGGGATGTTTGTTATTGAACTATAACCTAACCTATACTGACTTGTACTCACAAGGGTTACAAGATATTCCTCACAAAATATCAGACCTCCAGTGGATGTGAGTGTGAAAAATAACCATTTTGTGTTTTAAGAAATTAAAGTATTTACATCTTATAACATTTATATTTTTGAAACTGCTTTTTAGCATTATAATAATACAAGGGATGAAAAAGTTTCCCATAAAGAACCAAAGAGTAAACACCTTACACTTTCTGAATTTAATAATATTTGTTACAAGTACTCAACCCTGCTACTGCAGTATGAGCACATAGTTGAATGTGCATGGCCGTGTTTCAATAAAACTTTATTTGCAAAACTAAATGGGGGCCACACTTGCTCCATGGGCCATGGTTTGCCAATGATACAAAGAAAGCAAAATTGACTTTGTACTGATTTCCCTTACCACTCAGCTTCATTTACTGACTTACATATTGTTCATTACACTTACAAAGCTTTCTACAACTGCACTCAGAACAAGAATCAAAGCATAAGAATTAAATTATTTCAGCAATTTAGAGCTTCTATTAATTAAATACTAGCCCCACAGGGAAAGAAATGGTATAGTTAAAGAAAGAACATCTTAAAGAAGATTAGAAAGGAGGTCCTTTTTCCTAAGTAAGAGTCACTAAATTTTTCTGATTCCATCCATGGTTGAATGTTTACCCCAAGAAATGCAGCACACACTACTGCCACAATAATGCAGTGTATGAAAATATCCAAGTGACACATTACCCTAGGTAACCTGCACAAATATTTAGTGGTTCTTTGTGTAAACTTTTCAATTAAATAAACAATTGCTTATATAATGTGATGTAATCTTTAAGAAAAACATTTTTTTTTTAATCGGGGAATTAAACATGTTCACAAAAGAAAGATCCAATTCATTTCTTATTTTGACCAGTCACTATTATAACTAGATAAATAAATGAGCAAAATAGAGACAGCATTCTGGAACTGTTGGCTATTGTGCTAAAATGTATTATTGACTCAGAATTCTCTCCTCCATCCTCATCCTGGCCATCTTTTTTAGCAGGAATCTACTTCCCTGCCCAGTTGATGTCAGGTACAGCCTCATGACTTGCTTTGTCCTGTGAAATGTTGATAGAAGAAGCAGTTTGCTGATTCAGAGCAGAGGCCTTTCAGGACCTCTCAGAAGAACCCAGCTTTCAGCCCAAAGCCAAACTGTTCCAAACCACCTGTAGATCTGAGGGTGAGGAAAATTAATGTTTGTTGTCAAAGTCTCTAAGTTCCTGGCATTGTTTGTCATGCAGTATGAATA